TGCTGCTTTCCAAGGAAAAAAAAAGATCAACTTTGTTTATTTAAATTTACACCATCTGAAAAAAGGAGGCGATCCAGACATGAATTGCTCACTTGCAAACTCTAGAGACTGTCTAATTCCAAAGATACTTTCTGATTTGACTGTTAGTGTGCCCATAGTCTGATGTTGCAACATCCTGCTGGCCAGTGAGGTTTGGCTGCCATTTTGGATCTTCAAAGCAAAATGAAACAGGGATAAATAGACAAATGTAATGTGTGATTTGTGGGGGTCTCCAAGCCTATTACAGAGCACATCTGTTACACACTATCTAAAGTCTAAAAGCCGCAAGAATACACTCATCAGCCGTGTACTTATTGTAGGTCACGCCGGCTGCTTCTGGCAGGCATTAGAGGGGTGAAGACAGTTTCAATGGGCAAATACAATGAGGGGAATTTATCAAAACTGGAGCAGAGAAAATCTGGAGCAGTCGTGCATGGCAACCAATCAGCTTTTCTCTTTCATTTTTAAATCTTTACTGAACAAACTTATGGTGCCCATACGCTAGACGAATTTCGGCCAGTTGTTAATGTACAGGCCGGAATTTGCACAGTGTGTAGGGCTGTCGGCTCCCTTTCAGCCGGCATTCCTCGATCAGCTGATCAAAGGAGCCTGCTGGAAAATCTTCGTGCCATCAGAGCCGGCAGCCAATGGGCTGCCTGCTCTGATCTGGTATTCGGACAGGTCCCGCCGCCACCTGTCAGCAATACAATGCAAACAGCTGCAATTCCTCGATTAACATGCTGTTTGTGTTGACGGAGGAATCGCATCAGTTTCTTTCGTTCAGCTTGTCTGCTCCAGTTTTGATAAATTCCCCTCAATTTGTTTAAGCAGTGGTGTATTCAGTGCTGGAATTTCAGTCCCTGAGCAGTCTCACACTAACTGGGGTAGTACATGTAGTTCCTCTTCTTCTGGGTTAAAGGGTCAGTCCACATATAGCTCGTATTTCAGATTTGTCGGATGCTGGAAAGATGTATCATATAATGGTTTATTACGGTATTCCTCCTTGGGTCTCCTGTAGTCAGATTTTAGTGATTTGAATTTCCAGGTCTCCACACCAGAGGTGGCCATTGGGTGCCATTCTCCCTGTTGGATCTCTTATTTTATATTACAGAACATGCAAAAGTAGGAGTGGAAAAAATCTAGGGGGTTATTCACAAAGAGCCTAAGGATATAGCCGTAGGTTTGGCTAATCCTTCCTACCAGACCTAAAGGGAACTTTTTTTAATTTCGAGATGGGGGGGGGAGGGGGACACAGGGGTTAGACCCTCTTAACATTCCTACCAGATCTAAAGGGTCTGGTATGGTTTGGGAGGGGGACCCCACGCTGTTTTTTTGGTTTTTCTTTGTTTACATTTTTTATAGCAGAATAACTGAGCTGAATGCTGCTCAGGAACATTCGCCTATTTAATCACTGCTGTTCGGCTCCCATTATTTCTGGCCGGTACTTTAGGCCAGCAGGTAACGTGGCTTACCAGTTCCCACCTATAACCGAAATATAATTTGTGGGTGGACTGACCCTTTAGAAAACTATGTCTCTATTACCTAATGGCACTATCAGCTACAGTAAGCTAACAGTAAAATTATTATTACTAAGCATTACTCAAAATTATAATATTTCTGGACACATCTTATGAATGGAGTTATCATAGGTAAAGGGAAACTATAAGGGTTTTTGATAGGTTGTTGTTTTACAAGTAAACATTTCATATCTGAAAAGGATTTCCAAAGCACTAACATCCATCTACACAAACGGCACAAGAGTGGCAGCTTGCCTTCAGTCTTAATTTTTTTGCTTGAAACTCTGCATTGAGCCATCTGATAAGGCATGAGGTTCGGGGATGAGTAATTCTCTTGGGTATTCAGATTTCCACTTGAGTTAAAGAAGTCTGTAAACAGCTGTTTTTTTTAACAGTTTGTAAAGTCAGAAACTCTGCCTGCTGGCTAAACAAAAGAATAGTAATAAGCAATATTTCATATTTACCTGATAAAAAATAAAAACAATGTTTATTTTTCTAGTCCTGATTATAATAAAAAAGTAATTTGTGCAAAAACACTATACCATCCATTTAATAGGCCAGCTCCATTTACTGCCAGTCACAATCCCTGCTCGTATGTTATGCAACTGCAGTCTAGAATACCACATGACCTCCCTTTAGCTGGTCTAGTTGGCTGCCCTTTATTTTCCCTTGTACTAGATGAACCCTCAAAGTTTTGTCGTTAGATTAATAGTGGGTTCACCTGCACTTTAATGGAGCCAGTATTTCCTATACACTAGGAAAATTATACAAGATTTCAGTAAGAAGTTATTTTATTATTTACAGTGGAAATATTACCTAGAGTCTCTAACTCATCAAAAGCCATCCCATATGACCCTCATGGACTTTAAACACTGATGCCTTTATGACCCCCACATCCCGAGTTTGGTTTCATCTCTTTGTTCTAACTCATAAATCCTACACCAAACTTAAAACTTCAATATGTGTTGAAATGGGAAAAAGAGATGGGGAGAACTTTAAGGGAAGCAGAAAAAGTGGAGACATAGACCCAAAGCATTAGAAAATAGAAAATGGGATAGCTAAATGTCTTTCCTCGTACTTGCCAAACTGCCTCTTAGGCTGTAATTATACAATGCTCCATATGAAACTGTCCTAGGGCTCAAAGTCTATGGCAAAGAGTTTACCACATTACCAACCTCTAATTGTATTATAGCCTATGCAAACTCAACTGAAGTGTTATCATATAGACCTTCCCCCACTCTACCCAAACACATGTGCATTAATTACTTGACATAATGTGGCAGTCTCAAACATTGTGCTTTTAAGATATCAGAAATAGATTAAGCAATAAACTAGGCAACTAAAACACACACACACATTTACTAAATAAAACTGGCTCAACTAAGTAACCATGGCTCAACTAAAACGATACCGAGGGTCACCTAGCTAACTCTTTTTCACTTTAAGAAGACAGGTAGCCAGATAGGACAAACTCTTATTCCTGATATCTGCTACACGCCTACCATAGGGGGAATGGGAATCCCTTTTAATTCCCATCCTCCCCCTTGTCTGACAGCAATATTCCTAAAGCCCCTACATTTCTCTTTTTATTTTTTTCCTTTTTCTCCCTCCCACCTCCTCTACTTGCTCCACAGTATCTTTCTTTTTCACATTTTCATGACCCTGTTCTCCATACTATTTCCTTTTTATACTCATTGTGCCCTCAATGGAACAAAATAATCCCCCACTAAGGTGGTGAGTACAGTGTCAGCATCTCTCTTATTGTTCTTATGGTGGTTTAGACTCATGCATGGATAATGAAATGATAAATTTGTTCCTTCAAGTAACTGTAAGGTATGTCTCTTTTGTATACCTACTTCATTCCCCTGGAACCTTGGACTCTTGTGCTCACCTAATTGTTATACCACTGTTCTAAAACTTTAATAAGTTTCTAATAAATTTCTATAATGTGTGCACTTACACACATTGCAAAGCTAGCAGTCTAACTGTCATTTTACAGAAGGACTGATCAGTCTTGAACTTTCTAAGGTTGCTATCAACTACTGGATATGGCTAAGCCGTAATCGGCTGGTTTTTTTTTAAGCTACAATAAAGACCTCAATAAAACAGAACTGCCAGTATTAAACAGGTTTTTACAAATATTTTCGCACTAATAGAGAAGTACCACATAAACGTACTAACCTCCTCAGTCCTTCTCTCCTAGCGTTTTGCTTCTCAAACACTATAGCAATATTCAAGCTTTATTTTTAAGATACTGGTGTCGTATAAGAATTTGCACCACTGTCCATTTCCTGGATTGAAAGAAAGCTGGTGGGACAAATCACCCTGTGTATAAGTCTCACTTAACTCAATCAGGAACCTCTTATTCTGGCATCTCACGAATGGGTGCACTTGCAGTACACTGGCTGCAAATTCAAATGGCAAAGCACGGGATGATGTGGTGCTTTAGAAGCCTAACAAAGGCAACCCCATAAGTAAAATTATGAGGAAGAGCTTTTAATGGCAAGATACTTTTGGTAGCATCCACAATTTGGGACTCCTAAAATTCACAGAAGAGAATTTGGTGTTTAAGTATGCTACTTTCAGGCACCTTGCAGTGTCTGCTGTTATGCAGTACAGTTACTTTTATCTTTTTTAAAGGAAATCTGTACTAAGAAACCTATGTAGGCTGCCATTGCTGACCTCTCCTTAAAATGATAGCTGTCTGGCTGTCATGCTGATCTAATGGCTTTAATGCTTTGTGGGTCACTGAACCAGAACAAGTATATAGATCAAGAGTTCTGGCTTCACTGTAACCTTCATAAACATAGATGTTCACTATTAGTATATTGCTGGAAGCTAAAATATAATGCTTTGAGGTATAGGTGCCTTATTTGTCACTACAGACAAATTAGATTAGAGGTATCTAGGTGCTTGTTCTTCATACCTTATCACAATACAAAAACAGTCTGACAACTGCTATTTTCAGGAGGTTAGCAATGGTATCCTCCCACATTTCTCATTCCCCCAGCTATTTAGCCTCAGTGCATAAAACTCAGTGCCAGAGAAGCCCATTGTCTGGTCAAAAGGTCACTAATAAATTCCATATATTCTTCACCCTCGTAAGTGCTCTTCAACTGACAGTTTTATTCCTATGTCTTCAGTTTTTACATGGTACCTGTTTTAGAAAGTTGTACTTTATAGGTATTAATTTTCTGTTTAAGACATTTTCATAAACTTATTTCATTGTGGTTGTTTTTTAATGAGTATAAGGGTACTTTTCCCTAAAAGCTGGACATTTTTGTGTCTTCTGGGCCTAACCTCTATGCACTGGTATGTAAAACCTTAAATTTCAAGCATGTTGCTTTGATATGTATAACAATTAGTATGCAGATGTTTGCATTAACATAGTTTCCAATTTTTTTATGCATATGTATAATTATGTTCTAATATTTTTGTTTGTAGATTGTCTGACTCTATGTGAAAAACAGCCTTTTGGAAATGTCTGGGACAGGTAAGCCAAGGTATTAAAATTTGCAGAGAATAGAATGATACTGCTTGTAATGTTGGAACATGATCATGTGACTTTATACCTTTCACATTTCTAAGCGCATAGAGGATGAATTGATCCCCTTTTCCCATCCATAAGTGTACACTTTGAAAAACAAAACTTTTAAAATTAGCCGACGGTCTAGATCTAGAATGACATCTAGAATTATACATTCAAAAATATCAATAGTGTTTAGTGAATTGATCCAGGAGATCCAGTTGCTTGATCTAGGTAACTATGACATTGCTACTTTTTTCCATACACTAATACTTATATGCAGCAACTTAAAGGTGATTATAGGCAGATTTCTGATCATCACCTGAGGTAAGTGCCAAAACATAAGTTTAAAGGGAGGAAACGCCATTTAAAGTTATCCTGTTTACTAAGGAATCAAAACATAAAGAAAAAAACCTATAAAAAAAGGCTCTATATGTACCTTTCTTGTTGGCCAAGTTTTGAGATGCCTCCTTTTTGCCACTCCCCAGCTGCTGCATGTATTCCACACTTTCAGGTGTGTAGACTGCCTGCTTTCCCACCATCCTAAACAACAAATTACATATAGTGCTTCTGAGAGAAACTGCACCACAACCCTATTAACCAATTAGAAACCGCTTCAAATTTATACAGGGTTTTTAAGGTGCCAAGGACACAGCCGGAGAAGAATAATTTAATATTCAACAGCTTTATTCACTTAAATTTCATAAAATCACCCACCAATAAATACAGTACCACTTAATTTTGTAATAACAAACAAAATGGATAAATAACCCTGTTAGTATCCAACCTTGCAGTATCACTCCAAAAAAAAAAAGATAATGACAATCTATACAGCAAATAAGGTCTTGTCATAAACCGAACAAACATGATTGCGATGATACATTGATAGCTGGAGTGGTTCTGGCTTCAACCCGTTTTGTGCTTCTCTGTGCTTCTTCAGGAAGAGGTGGAGGTGATCAAATTAGAAGCGACACTATTGTTTACCAATATGATGCTGGCATCAGTTTATGTGCACCCTGGAATGACTTGAACCATGGACAGGTGACCGCCCGAGAGTCCAACATAAGGGAACCAATCACAGGGTAACCATCAATTCCTTCCAAATATATACCCTTATGGAGATTGCTTCATGCTAAGATATCCCAAAACCAGGAAGGGGAGCCAGATGCTGCCACTAATCTGCCGAAATAGAAGCCGCCCGTCGGATCTTAGTCCACCTAGTTCTGTCCCCCGCACCGGATAATCCCACTGGCTGGCAGCCTCAGACCCGTACCAAACCGCATCCCTTCTCTTTTTAAAGGACTGCAATACATGGACTTAGATATACTTTAAGAAGTCTGGCGTGATGTCACATGACTTAAACAAAGCACATAGTAGTAAACAGGACCTGATCTTCAGCCTATGTTACTATGGCCATAATAGGCTAAAATCATATATTTGGATTTAAAAAAGCAAACTGCAGATAAAGGACTATTGTTAAATAAATAAATTGGCTGGGTAAGATTTTGAAACAACATCAAAACCATAAACTGTATCATATCAAATAAAATAAAATAGTTACTTATCTCAACAGTTTACTCTATGTGGGACACTATTCTATACGCCTATCCTTGTTCAGTTTTAGCAGTTATTGGTTTGGTGATTAACCCCATTAATCTAATGTAGAGTGTTTTACTTTGCATTTTCAGTAAATGTATAATAAAATGAAATGAAAGCTCTTTTGCCATGGATGTGATATTACTGGTATGTGGCAAAGTTTCACTTTACTGAAAAAAAGATTAACCTCTTGCCGTCCGCCCGTAGTAAAAAAACGGACGGACGGCACTGCAGCATCTGCAATTGTTCATAAAATATATTACACAGATTACCTTTCTCCTCTATTATTAAGAGATAACAGAAGCTGCTGATTCTCATAATAAAGTCCTGGTTTCTAAAGTTACTATTTTCTTTTCTTGGGAAGAAGATGCATAGGCATTTACTCCCACACCTGTCTCTCCATTGGTTCTTTCTCACCCCATCACCTGACACAACACAGACGATGGCACCTGCAGGCCTCTCTTAAGCAGCCATCCATAAAAATATGTGCCCCATCCCTCACGCTCTGTAGCACAATATGTGAGCCTGAGCATGAAACAGATGAACAGATGGCACAGAGGGAGGGGTCTCCATCTTAAAAGAAAGCCCCAACTGGGACTGTCAAAGGCAACAAGACTAAAACTTGTGTCTAACAAGAGCAGAGAACTGCAGTAACACTGGAGCGATCTCACATGAGAACCATTTGCTGTGTGAGAGGATTTGCCAAATTCTTTATCAGTTTGGTGTAAGGGAACTGTAGGCAGTAAATGCAGCAATAATAGCTAGAGGCAGTAAATACATTAGAACATAAAACAAAAAAATAGTATGGAGTTAAAATATATGATAACCTTAATTTTAAAATGTTTATCAAGCTTTTTTTCAGATTAAGTGGTTTAGTGTAAATTCAACATTTTTAAATGAAATAGATTAGATGTATAGTTATCTAGATTACTTACTTTAAGGAACATTAAAGTTTTCTTTAAATGAATTATGAAGTTAAAGATTATGTTGATTTTTTTTTTTTCTTTCATCAAAATAGTTTTTGACTTTTAATTTTGTCATCTTGATTTCTAATTACTTTGATTTTAAAATGTAAAATCAAACTGACTGAACTTTATCTACATAATTACCTGTGTGTTTACAAATTTTTTTAGTAATTGTCCGTGTTATCCTTTACTTTAAGAATATTTAATCCCAATGAAACACATCAATCATTTTTCTGTCCTGCAAAATACTACTTATAGTTTTTATACAATTTTGTGCTTATTTCAATCCTAACACAAAAATACGATTAAAACAAAATTACTGCATGCAAGGATTTTCCATACAGATTATGATAAAGAATAATTTTGTACGGAGAAGAAAGTTAGTTATGATCCACAGTTCATAAAGCTACAGTGCAAGCAAGCTTTTACTATGTCTCCCAGATAAGGAGCTATAGCAATTTAAAAACTATAACAAAGTTTGAGGAATGAAACACTGAACTCAAATCCATCCTTCTCATTATTAAAATATTTGCCCCATCAGTAAGCCCTGCACTAAAGATCCCAGCCATTTTGGTGGCAATGCTTATGGGGTACAAAGTGCTAGAATTCAAATTCTTTATCTACTTGATGTCCTTAGCTACAAAGCCTCAATTAATGGCACCCATCAAGGATACTGCTTGAAACATTTCTGCACTTGTTCTTACGTAATGTTACATTCATATTCTATAAACACTCTTTAAAGGAGAACTATGGGGTCAGGGCTTTTCCCCATAGTTCTCCTTAGGGTAACGGGAGGACACAAACTAGCGTCCTCCCCTCACCCAAAGCTCGGTATACCGCGAGCTACAGCTCGCAGTATACTGAGACGCCGCAGCCGGGACGGTTCCCGACATTACTGTCAAGATCCACCCAGCTGCGTGATTGACAGCTGGCTCTGCCTATCTAAAGGCAGAGCCAGCTGTACCCGCCCCCTCCCCCGTCTGTTCCGCCAGTCAGCGCTGGAGGATCGGGGAGGGGGGTAATCCCTGCAGGGAGCTGTGAGTGACAGTCACAGCTCTCTGCAGGGATAGATCGAGAAGTGAGCGAGCGACGCTATGTGTTCGCTCACCTCCCGATCTATTGAGTCGACCTGTGGCAGTTTCATTGTCACAGGTCGGCTAGAACTATGAGGATGAGTGATTTTCACTCGCCTCATAGTTCTCCTTTTAATTATAACATATAAACCCATCCAGTGTTCAGTTATGTGCACTGTAACAATGTGCATTGACAGCTGTGGTAATAATAGGGATCATGTTAGTGATGTCGCTCCGATTTATGTACAGTTTTTGCTTAGGCTGCATTGAACACAATAATACCAATGCAGAAGTGATTACATCCACCATGTCATGTAGAAAAAGTCTAATGAACCCCAATTTTATGATTCACTCTTGCTCCAGAATGGAGTAACATATATTAGATTGATTGACTATTAGGATTATCAATTGACACTTGAACATGACATTTTCAGAGCAACATGCAGTAGCTAACAGAGATTCAAAGTAGTCAGTGTTGCAATGACCGGTATTTTGGTTCGAAAACTTGCATAATTATTAAAGACAATAAGGAGAACAGTCACAAAAAGGTTCACAGCATATGCCAAACATGGGCCATCTGCATGAGCAAAGAAAGACAGTGGTCAAAACGTGAATCTCACAGGCAGGGTTATATAGATATATAAAATATCTAATGAAGAAAAAGAATGAAGAAAGAGAATTGAATCAGCACTGATGTGACCTCAACAATGGCATTTGGAAACTGAATTTATACAAGGCCAACACATGAAGAGGCATCGGCATTAAACCTAAATACCCATATCAAAAGAAATTGATATGGACTGATGAACCTCATTTTATAATTATTCCTATAGGTGGAAAGCTTTATATTCAGTAGTTTATTTCTGCTCCCTAATAATACATTTGATAGCCATCCTTGCCAAACAGATCTCTATTTTGTGGTAGTGACTAGGTACAGCGATTGGTCTGTATCTCAATATAAAAGCAGTGGTATGCCAAGCCATTTTACAGGACCATGTGCACCTTAGGTTACAAATACATTTCCCTCTTAACCCCTTCGTGACTGACGACGTACAGTGTACGTCGCCAGCATTGGGGCTGTTAAAACAGATAGCCGCCGGGACTCTGTTTAAACTTGTAAAGCCGACTGTTGGCTTTACAACAGAAGTGATTCTGGCGACTTACCTGTCGCCAGATCGCTTCTGTGTCCCGTAGTAGGGGTCGCCGGATACCGCCGCCGTGCTTCCCGGGCTCCGTTGCCCCTCCTACGGGCCCGGGACCGGCTTCCTTGGTGTCCGCGGGGAGCTGGGGAGGAGGTCGACGAACTTCCAATTGCATCACTTCCGGTCCCTGG